TCGGGAAATTCTTATTTTCGTACATTTCATTTCCAATCATGTCTTTCCTCTATAAACGTGCTGATATCCTATGGGATGATAGTCACAGATAAGTGCCAACAGAGAAGATTGAGGTAGCGGTTCTTTTTGTTGAAGATAGACGCATGCAGTTTCCGGCCGATTGATAATAATCTTGTCCAGAACCTTGTTTTCTTCAATCCCTGGAATATCTCTCCACCTCAAATAGGTTGAGGATAGCATCTATACAGTATAAAATGGATTCACACAAGGATTTGTTACCTCTGATGCCGGTACGGTCTGCAGCCTCTAGAACCCTGACCTAGCATGACTGCACGAAGGCTGCATGAAATCCCAGCATATTGAAGGCTTCTAGCGTGTTTTCATTCGACAGTGTTCTTGTTGTTCTCCATAAAAGGTAACATGTGGTTCTTTTTGACTGGTTGGAAGTCCGCGTCAACTGAGATCACCCTATTTCGATTGCGGTGCCTCGATAGTAACAACCGTTTATTCCATTAGTTAACACGAGGTTCCCAGCAAACCATGGTCCCTAAATGTTCCTATTGATGACCTAGCGCCGGTGGCGCCCATTCAACTTGCCATCCAGCAGCCATTTTTGACTGACGAGTCTTATAGGCCTCGAGGCTACTACACCCACAGGCTCTGAGATATTGCCGGATTCAAATTGACAGGTCCATATGTCGTAACTTGAAACTCGTTATTTCATTAAGTCTGTTGTACCCTGGAGAATGTCGAATCTCCATTCTCCCTATTGAGTCAACTAGGATCCTATCGTACACGAGGCCGAATATTCGCATATTGGATGCCCCGAAAAATCGTTCTTGATTCATGGGATGGACGTCATGCATCTGAACAAGTGGTGTATAAAGGCCGTGAAAACGGACCCGGTGTTGCAGCAGCAGCCCAAGTATTTTTGACACTATGGCCTTGAACATCCCCATGAGGCACACCAAGGTGATGAACGATATCGGTCGCCTGGACCGCGAATTAGGGTGAGCACCCTTCAAGTATTTTTTATCAGTAGTCCAATGATATCGACAGTGGAGACTCTTTGATTATCGACCTTCCGCAGCTGGTGGTTATTGGCTCACAGAGCTCGGGAAAGAGCACTTTGATCGAAGGCTTGATCAAGGTAAGTGACCTATCTCCCCAGTTAGGCTCGTTAAACTGACTGTAAAGTCCAGGTTCCGATTCCACGAAGTAGTGGGACGTGTACCCGGTATTTCATTCTCATCCTGTTCGACCGACATACTTACATTATCCTAGCTGTCCCATCATTTTCAGATTATCCATGCGAGAGGATGTCAGCTGGAGGTGTAACATATGGCTTGACTTCGAATTCGGTCAAGACGGGGAACCATTGGTGGTTCCACAAAGGCGGCGAAAATTTGGGCCCGAAATCACCGAGCCAGAACACGTCTACGAGAGACTTGTCCAAGCGCAAGCCGCTGTTCTTCACTACCCAACTGTTGATCCTGACGACTTCTTGCAACCAAATGCACATTTGGGAGGAGAAGGCTTCTCCCATAATACTATCTCTGTCGAAATTGATGGACCCGAAGTCGAGTCTCTCTCTTTTGTAGACTTGCCTGGTATAGTCGCTATTCCCCCCTCTTATGCACTTGCTCATGTGATGTGTACGTACTAGGAATCATTGCTATGGATCCTCCAGGTCAGCCAAGAATGATGGACAGGGTGAAAGACCTAGCCACAAAGTACATCAGGAAAGAGACCTCTTTGATCCTTCTGGTTTATCATTGTTCTGGTAGGCATAACACCCCCTTATTGA